CAATTAAGTGTTCTGGAATTCCCATTCTTCGCAATGTTATCCATAATTTGTTATGATCCACACAGTTGAATGCCTTTGCATAGTCAATAAAACACAGGCAAACATCTTTCTGGTATTCTCTGCTTTCAGCCAGGATCCATCTGACATCAGCAATGATATCCCTGGTTCCACATCGTCTTCTGAATCCAGCTTAAATATAGAGATATCAATTTGTAAATGTATATTTTTTCTATGTAATATATATTCAACACACAATACAATTTCTGAGTATGGGTGCATTTGTATATAAAATAATTTTTTGCCCATGGCATGTAAGTTGTCTTTCTTTCGTGGAAAAGGGTGATGATTTTACTATTAATCTTAGTTTAAGCCCTTTATCAATATTATTTTTTTCCTGAAAAAAACAAAAGTTATCGATTTTGTTTCTTAACTCTGATTTCATACCTATAAATTTTCATCAGAATGAACTAGAATTGGTATTATGTTCAAACTCTGCCCTTCAATTTTTATCATGTAGCCATCTTATATCTACTAGTTTTGGGAATTAGTTGATCGATATATCCAGTTAGTTCAAGCTGATAAATAGGTATTTGGTTTTATGTAATGTCTCAAACTGTGATCTCAGATAAGAGTTTAGATTGTTTATATAAAAATTATTTCATACTCATTACACTACTTTCACCTTCAAGGTACATGCTTTTGCTAAGATGCTTTGGCTTTGCTGTGATCGAGGACACCTGGCACTATTTCCTGCACAGACTATTACACCACAAAAGGATATATAAATACATTCATAAAATTCATCATGAGTTTCAGGTATGTTAGAATTGTACTGAATACATATTTTATTAGACACAAATGTCATTATTTTTACCGTGTGAGCATTTTTTAAAATCGTTGGTGATGTTATTTCCTTTTCCTTTGGCATGATTACTAAGAACATAGCACATACGCACACACAACCAGTTCTACAGATTTTCCTTAGCATCTAAACTTCATGGTCAGTGGAGAACTGAAGCACAAAAACTTGCATGAAATACTTCATTCTTCTCATTTTTGTGGCCACAGCAATATCCTGACACACACAGCTGGCTACCTGACAATTTGATGGCAGCTGTAGGGACGCCAGAGTCGTTCAGAAGGTTCCTCAATCAACCACCCTTTAATGTTAAAATTTTAAAAGTTATCAGCTGATGTTTAACACATTTTCACTGCATTACTGACTCCCACAAAAGTGGTTTTTAGATTTTATTAGAACTGCTTTGATTTGGCCTTGACAAGTTGGCTATGTCCGAATTTTCTGTGCTGATCCTGATTACATGGTGTACTAACACTAAGGCAAGCATGCCTTTCTTCTGAGAGCAAATTCAAAGGCAAAGATCAGAATTACAGTTCAAGTCAATCGTTAAATGCCTTATTTAAACCCTCAAAGACGGTTATAAGATTTTATTAACAGCATCCCTAGGCCTTTCGATGTTTAGCAGGTACAAAAGGATATTTTTATTAAGATTTGCTATTATTATATATGTATGGCTAGATATATGATTACATGTAGAAACAACATACTTTAATAAAACTGCATGCATGTGTTACATAGACTATATTAAGGAATTCTTATCTATTTGTTTTAGGCTCCATTTGGAATTGGGGCTGAATATGTACATCCTCTGGAAACCCTAATTTTTGGACCTGGATATGTCATTGGAATCATGCTTTCATTTGACCATGTAATTCTTCTTTGGGCGTGGGTGACCTTGCGTTTGATAGGGGCTATTGATACCCACAGGTGAGTTATGGTGTCTAGTCGGGTGAGTAAGTATCATAAAATATCTTTATTTCGTGGTCATAAGATTATCTGTCAACTAATAGGAGAAGTTAATTTTGTTAATGTTATTACTTTTTAAAAAGGAGACTAAGCATTGGATAAAAGTTCAAGTAACAGATCTCTTTGTAATACAAGGAGACTTTTGCCCTACCTCTGCTGTTGTTGGTTTTATAGTGAGAATATATTCATGTATTGTTATTATGTGACCGTTCGTTTGATAGAAACTATTGATGTCCATAGTTGAGTTATGGTTTCTAGGCAGGTGATTAGGTGTCATAAATTTATCTTTATTTTCATGCTCATAAGATTATCTGTAGATTAATAGTGAATTTTGTTAATGTTTTTTTTAAAAAAAGGAGACTAATCATTGATTAAAAGTAATAGAGATTTTTTATAACACAAGGAGATTTTTGGTCTATCTATGCTGTTATCGGAGCCCTGGTGGTGTAGTGGTTAAGAAATCGGCCACTAACCAGAAGGTTGGCAGTTCAAATCCACCAGCCGCTCCTTGGAAACCCTATGGCCAGTTTACTGACTCAAAGGCAGTGGATTTGGATTTGGTATATGCTGTTATTGTTTTTATAGTGAGAACATATTCATGTGTCATTTGGGCAAATAAAATTGTGATAGGTACGGCCAGACTGTCCTCCGAAAGGGTCCCTGCTTGCACTCCCACCAGGAACGTGTGACAATGTTTTCCCTTTCCCCAGCGTCCTTCCAAACCTAGATAATACGCTTATAAATGTTTGTCAATATTAGGACAGAAAGGGCTTTCAGTATTTCCGTCCCCATTTCCTCCATGACTAGTGGGGTAAGCACCTGTTGGTATGTTTATTGACCAGTATTACTTTTTCTTCTTTAAATTACCCGTTTATATCCTTGCCCATTTTTCTTGGGTTGTATGTCTTTTTCCTGTTGGTTGTATGAGCTTTGTTTTATATATGTTGCAAGTATTTTCTCCTGTCATTTGAATTTTAACTCTTGATGGTTTCTTCACGGTACCAACATTTTTAATTTCCATGTAGTCAGATCTATCAGTCATTTCTTTTATGGCTTTTGGGTTTCATGACTTACTTAGAAATGCCTTTCCTGAAAGATTAATGTTCAAATAAAAATATCTTTGTCATTTTTTCAAAATTTGTTTAAACATTGTAATTCCAGATTAAGAATTTCTTTAACCTTCTTAAATGGATCTGAACATATGTCTTATTTGAAAAGATATGGAAACATTGAGCTCTCAGTGAAGAAGAATGTTTCTCATTTCTTCTATCTGGCAATTTTTTTTGTAATTAATGACAAAAGCACTGACCTGTAATCTGTACGTATTTCAGATGCTTCTTTTCTGTCTATTGGAAGATATTTTATGGCACAATATTTATATTTAATGACTTTTTAAATGCCTAATATCCTAATTTTTATTTTTTTAGAATTATTATATGCTCATTGCATTTGACTTGGGACTTACTATGCCCATGAAGGCGTATTCTAAAAATTATTTTTAACCACTGAAGTAGCAAGAGTGACGTTTCTTGTCTTAGGTAGAGAATATTCTACATGAATGGTAACTGATATTTGAACTCTCCCTTTCCTTCCATCTTTCCTCCCATTGTTCCTTCCTCTTTTCCTCCCTCCCTCCCTCTCAGCTCAGCAAAGGGAGTGAGGGATTGGGGTGATTCGAACTATTATTGTGCAGGCATCACTGGATATCAGATGTGAGTCAGAAATAAAGGAGAAAACTCTAAATGTGACCTTTTTTGAAATATATGTTCTCTCAGCTGTAGAAAGCATACTCATATTCTGATTAATCACGGTGTATTTCATCCCAGTTGTCATTACCTAAAAAAATAAAGCAAGTTGCTACACAGTAATTCTTGGATATAACCTTTTTAATACTTGATACTAATTTCACATGACCTTTGCGAAAGTGCATATGTAGTATTGTGGCATTACTTAGCTGTTATAATCTGTGGTGAGAACTCTCCTCAAAAACAGAAAAGAAAAATGTTCCTTGAAAATCTACATCAAAAGTTTATTGTCTTTCATCCCCTGAAGTATTTAATATGTCATTTCCATGAATCTTTTGTGTGTTTTTCTTTTCTTAATATGTTTTCTAGAAAATTGTCTTAGTTATCTAGTGCAGCTATAACTGAAATACCATAGGTGGATGGCTTTAACAAACAGAAATTTATTCTCTCATAATTTAGGAGTCTAGATGTCCAAATTTAGGGTGCCAGCTCTAGGGGAAGGCTTTCTCTCTCTGTCAGCTCTGGTGGAAGGTCCTTGTCTCCTTTCAACATCTGTTGGCCCAGCCTTCCTCGGAGATCTCCCTGTGTCTTGGCATCAGTCTTCCTCTTGGTGTAGGAGGTTCTCAGCACAGAGACCCCAGGTCCAAAGGATGCACTCCACTGCTGGCTCTTCTTTCTTGGTGGTAGGTAGACCCCTCTCCTCTCCGCTCTCTTCTCTCTCCTTTTATCTCTTGTAAGATAACAGGTGGCACCCGAGCAAATGTGTGACTTGAGTAAAGTGAGACTAAAGTCACACCCTTTGTAAGGTGTGACTCAAGATACACCCCACGCAGATCCTGCCTCATTAACATATAGAGGTTAAGATTTACAACAAATCACAAAATTGAGGATGATTTCATCAGGTCACAAAATGGAGAACAACCACACAATACTGGGAATCATGGTCTAGTCAAGTTGAGACATATTTTGGGGGCATACAGTTCAATCCATGACAAATGTGTACCCATTTCTGTAAATTCTTATCTTTTGTAAACATAATAGAGATGAAATGACTTAGGCAAAGTATTGAATTAGTTAATGAGCACATGATTATCAATGCAAATGTCACCTATTGGAGTGTATTTATTTCCTTAATCTTTACCATTTTATTTCAGTGGCTATGATATTCCTCTCAACCCTTTAAATCTCATCCCTTTCTATACTGGCTCACGGTATCATGATTTCCACCACATGAACTTCATTGGAAACTACGCTTCAACCTTTACATGGTGGGATAGAATTTTTGGAACAGACTCTCAGTTTAATGCCTACACTGAAAAGATGAAGAAATTGGAGAAAAAGACTGAGTAAACCTCTCCTGTAAACCCTCTTGAAGATACATGTTTTCCTGGATTGAAACTAGTAGCTAATATTGCTTCTGGGAGCAGAAATAAGCATGTGTCTTGGCTGCATGGTGATAAAAAGAACATTAAAAAAAAAACCAAACCCATTGCCGTCGAGTCAATTCCAACTCCTAACAACCCTATAGGACGGGGTAGAACTGCCCCATAGAGTTTCCAAAGAGTGCCTGGTAGATTCAAACTGCCCACCTTTTGGTTAGCAGCCAAGCATTTAATCACTACGCCACCAGGGTTTCTGAAAGAACATTAACAACTTTTACTTATCTTCCTAGTGGGAACTTTTTCTACTTTACAAGTCCTGTTTATGTACAAATAAATAAGTACATACTTCAGTGTCATTTTCATGAGGAAATAAATGCCATTTTGCTAACCTTACAAAAAATGTTTTAAGTACTGGAGGAAATATTAATCTATCTTTGTCCCCCCGTAATGCCATAGGTCTGAAGTTGAAATTGGTCTTTAAGTTTTTTAAGCACGCAGTGCCCATTTCAGAGAGCTCTCGATCGTGTGTTGGCCTCGTGTTGAACTTCAGACACTTTGTGGAATTTGCCCTTTCACAGGATCCCTCTGTCCTCGGCCACGTGCCCACTTCGCCCAAATCCTCCACAGTATCTGGAGAGTCCAGAGCCTCTTCTTTTCAATTTCTATTCGTAGGGTTTTTAGTGGCTGATTTTTCTAAAGTAGATTGCTAGGCCTTTCTTGTGAGGTGGCTCTGGGTGGATTTGAACCTCCAGCCTTTGGTTAGGAGGTGAGCGTGTTAACCATTTGCATCACATCTTAATCAGTTTTCCATTCCTCACTGACCACATCCTACCCAGTAACTAACTACCCAGTCCCTGGCATAGATGTTGTCGTATTAGCTGTGGTTGAGTCAGTCCTGGCTGATGGCAACTCCATGTGTGTCAGAGCAGAACTGTGCTTCATAGGGCCTTCAGTGTTGTGACCTTTTGAAAGCAGATTGCCAGGCCTGTCCTCCGAGGTGCTTCTGGGTTTAAACCGCCAACCTTTCGGCTGCTCTTCAAGCACTTAACTATTTGCGCCACCCAGAGGACATTGGCATATAACTAAAAAAACCAAACTCGTTGCCATCGATTTGATTTCAACTCATCCTGACCCTATACGACAGAGTAGAACTGCCCCGTAGGGTTTCCAAGGCTGTAATCTTTACAGAAGCAGACTGCCATACCTTTCTCCCGCAGAGTATCTGATGGGTTTGAACTGCCAATCTTTTGGTTAGCAGCTGAGTGCCTAACCACAGCGCCACCAGGTATCCTTCGTCGGCATATCCAAAACCAAACCGAGCCCGTTGTCATCGAGTCGATTCCGACTCATAATGACCCTTTAGGACAGTGTAGAAGTGCCTTATAGGGCTTCCAAGGCTGCAAATCTTTAGGTGAGCAAACTACCACATCTTTTTCCCATGGAAAAGCTGGTAGGTTCGAACTGCCAATCTTTTGTTAGTAGCTAAACACTTAACCACTGTGCCACCAGGGCTCCGTTTAGTACATCCTAAATAAATGTTTGTTGAATGAAAGAATGAACTGAAAACCCTCAGTACACTGTGGAAATAATGCTGTTTTTCTCCACAGTCCTGGCTTCATCACTTCCTGTTTACACAAACGCGTGCAAGTTATTTAACCCCCCCAAGCCTCGGTTTTCTTATTCGTAAAGGGTGGTAAGGGGGTGGAAGACTAAAGCCAATGATTAGTACAGTGCCTGGTTTAAATATTTTAGCCATCATTAAGGCTCCTAGGAATGATATTCTTTTAGAGGTAGATTTATTATTTCTTTGAAATCTTTGAAGTTTAAAAGGTGAAAATTTCATGTGTATTTAACTTAGAAGGTTAGGACATGTTAAAAAATAAAACTAAAGAAGTTAAAACATAGGGTTTATTTGGGCAGTTAGTCTATATGGGGATAGGGAGACCATTCTGTTTCTAATAACCAAATGGCTCAATGTAAGCTAGTTACAATGATGCTTTTAAAGAGAAGAGGAGGGAGTAGAATCGAAAATCAGCGATTGGCTGGTCTTAACATGATTGTTTGAACCATCACCCCTCCCTCACTGAGATCAGCTGGCGTCAGGTTACTAGGAGGCTTCTGGCCTGGCTGGCCTCCCCATTCGTTTGCACAAGTCTTAGGTGTAGTCCAGAGGTTTTAAAATTATACAAAGTACTTCAATTATTCAGAGAATGCTAAAGATTATCTCTCAGGAAGCCAGGGAAACTACCTAAATTTACACTCATACAATAGATAAAGTCCGAGCTAGTTACAGTTAACAAATGTCTTTGTCTGCCTCGTGTCACCAGAACCTAGGCCATAAGAGGGATTTAATATTTGCTGAAAGAATCAATGTCTCACATGTCTGTTAATTATAAGGAAACGGAAGCCCAATTTAACACAATGATTAAGCCATTGCAAACAGACACATAAGACATTGATTCTTTCAACAAATATTCATTAAATCCCTTTTACGGGCTAGTTTCCAGTGATAGAGCAACACACGAGGCACACAATGTCACTACCCTCAACTCATCTTGCAGTGGGAAAAGAAAACATTATAAATAGAGAAGTAGATGTGGGTGAAATACACCCTCTCCTCACTTATCAACATGGTTAGGTTCAAAAGACCAGGTCATCATGCGAAAATCGGCACGCGAAAATGGAAGTTGACCACATCCGATCACAAAATGGAGGATGACTGCATCATTACATAACTGCAAACCACTGAGAATCATGGTCCAGCCAAGAAGACACACAACCATCACAGCCAACATTATTCTTGCCTTGCACCTCAGCACTCATTACTGCCAGACACGCATTGTTAATGTGCAAAATCGTTGGGTACTAGATTTTTTACTACTGTGGTAACACACACACGTATTTGTATGTTGGAGGTTCAAGTCCACCCGGAGGCACCTTGGAAGAAAGGGGCCTGGTGATCCACTTCTGAAAGATCAGCCACCAAAAACCCTATGGAGCACAGCTGTACATGACCCCATGTTAATAATCCTGACTGAACCTCAGTTTCAGGTTGAGGTAGTATCAGCCGAGGTAGAGAAGAATGAAGGCAGGTAGTGCAAAATCCTTGTCGTGTATCATGCCGTCGAGTCCAACTCATAGCGACCGAGTGACCCTATATGACTGCCCGTAGAACTGCCTCGTAGAATTTCCTAGTTTGTATTTTTGTAATCTTTACAGAAGCAGATTGCTAGGTCTTTTCTCCTGCGGAGCAGCTGATGGGTTTGAACCACGAACTTAACCCTTAACCATTGCGCCACCAGGGCTCCTTTTTGACTAAAGAGAGATAGCAAAACAGGGAACGTATTACTAAAACCACACCTCGTTCCTAACGAGTTGATTCCGACTCTAGTGACCCTATAGGACAGAGTAGAACTGCCCTATAGGGTTTCCAAGGAGCCATTGGTGGATTCAAACTGCAAACCTTTTGGTTAGCAGCCAAGCTCTTAACCACTGCACCACCAGGGCTCCTAATGTATGCTAAAGAATGACAGAAATGAGCATTGCAGAACTCTGAGTAGGGAGAGTGGGGAGAGTTCTTTCATCTGAAGCAGGAATAAGACCTCAGTAAGAAAGGTTGGGGGGCGGGGGGCGGGGGACTTGCACTAGGTCTGTAAAGAAAGGAAAGGATCTATTTTCACAAAAATAATAGCGAACGTGTACACAGCTGCATACACCGTACATGGAATAC